GAGGGACCCCCCCCCCCGAATGCACAAATTTTTGTGCACCGGGCCTCTAGTATAAAATATTACTTCTTTCTCACTTACAGTCCAACATGGGTGTTCCTGACTGGAGGGGCTCTCCTCCAAATAATACTGTAGGGATGAAGATTTCTTCAATATTAGGATATTTCCACTTTCAAAATATGGTTTGCAAGGGTGTGTGCTCAATTGCATCACCCAGAAGGGAACGAGTGTGGAGGATGGGAATGGGAGTATTTATGGGCCAGGCCTAAATGGGGTCCATAATTTCTACCCACATTACATCACTAGAGGTTAGTCACATGCTCACACTCCACTGCAAAGAAGGCTAAGAAAGGGAGGTTGCCGTGTGCCCAGGAAGAGGAAGACCTGTGTGGGTGAGCGTCTGGCCATCTCTGCCACAGTTATCCACTGAGGTTTCAAAAATAAGCTAGATTTGGACTTCATATCCTATCTATGATAAATTTAAGGTGGGTTAATAAGCTAACACCAAAGTCAACTATGAAAGAGTCAGAACAAAATATTTTTAATAATCTTGGGGTTGGAAAGGCCCTTAACAAATCACAGAACCCAGAAGCTATCCAGGAAAAGATTGTCAGATTTAACTGCATGAAAACTAAAAATATCTGAACAACAAAAGATACTGTAAACAATGTGAAGGAAGTAATAGTTTACTTCCTTTTCTTAATACAGTTCACATACATCACTATATTTATAATCAACAATAGATAAATATATATAATATACAAATATTTAGAAATCTTTGAGAAAAAGACAACTCAATGGAAAAATACATCAAAGACATGGACAGTGAATTTTCTGAAGAAAAAAATCGAATAGCTGCCCTACCCGGTTTGGCTCAGTGGATAGAGGGTCGGCCTGCAGACTGAAGAGTCCCAGGTTTGATTCTGGTCAAGGGCATGTACCTTGGTTGCGGGCACATCCCCAGTAGGGGGTGTGCAGGAGGCAGCTGAATTGATGTTTCTCTCTCATCAATGTTTCTAGCTCTCTATCCCTTTCCCTTCCTCTCTGTAAAAAATAAATAAAATATATTTAAAAAAAGAAATAACTCTTTAAAAGAATCGAATAGCTAGCAATACAACATAATCAAAGAAGTGCAAATTTAAATAATTATTTTTGCCCATCAGTTTTGCAACAATAAAAAATATTTATATACTCAGGATTAAAGTGAATGTGAGAAAATAGGAACTGATTTACACTATTGGCAGAAATATAAATATAAAGTCACAGCATTTTAGAAAGGCAATTTGGCTATACCTACCAGTTAAAAAGTTCTATAGCATTCAACCCAGTAATTTTCCAACCCAGCAACATTTTGCACATGAACCTAAGACGGTATAACTAAGAATGTTCATGGCATCAATCTTTCAAATATTAGAAAAATTGAAGCATTTAAATGTCACAAATACCCAAATATCTCTTAATGAGCAATGATGGTATTGCTACCTTTCTTACAAATAGCTCTTTTGGTTTCAAGTAGATCTAACTTGGGTTGCAAGCCTGTCAGACCAGGTTAGAAAACAAAGACAGTATTACTAAAAGGAAACAGGGGTGTCTAATAAATTCAAAGCCAAGATTAGAACCTAGAACTGGTCATCGAGCCCTCTGGGACACTCTACACATAATGTGCTCCATCCCACCAATCCTCAAGTGTCCTATCTGGTCCTTACCCAATTGAAATCAGGTCTGCATTGAAAGACCTACTTAAGCCAAACTTCAAATTCTCAGTAAGTTTTTTTTATTACAGTTTACATACATCACTATATTCATTTCTTCTGTAGCAACCAACTTGTACTTCTTTTTTTGTTTTGTTTTGTCTTTTTGTCCTTTTGTTCTCTTTTGTTGTTCTTATAAACCCTTGTGTCGAGGTGTACTTCTTTTTTAAAAATACATTTTTATTGATTTCAGAAAGGAAGGAAGAGGGAGAGAGAGATAGAAACATCAATGATGAGAATCATTGATTGGCTGCCTCCTGTACACCCCCTAATGGGGATAGAGACCACAATCTGGGCATGTGCCCTTGGCGGGAATTGAACCTGAGATCCTTCAGTCCGAAGGCCAATGCTCTATCCACTGAGTCAAGCCGGCCAGGGCAACCAATATGTACTTCTTAATCCCTTCACCTTTTTAGCTACTCCCCCAAACCCCCCCTTCCATCTGGCAACCAACAAAAAGGTCTCTATGTATGAATGAGTCTGTTTCTGTTCTGCTTATTCATTTTGTTTTTAGATTAAATTTTTGGTAGATATGCATTTATTGCCATTTTATTGTTCATATTTGCCAAACAGAACATTGAGAAAATTATTTTGGAGAATTTTAATGGTAAAATATCTTCCTGTGAATCTCAAAACAAGTGATCAGACATTTTTATTCTATTTCACCTATGTGTATTTGTAAAGTTGTTTTATCTGCACTCGTAGCTGTGGAGACAAATTATTGAAAAGGATTTATGTTATGCTCAGACTCCTACACTAACTAGGATAAAAGCAACCAGGCAGCTTCAAATGCTCTTATTGACCGTGTATTTCCAAAGTGAAAAAATAATTTTGTTTTGTTTCAAGATTTTATCTTGAAACTTTGAAGTACATTTAAAAAAGAGGGTTTGAGGTATATAGCTTTCTCAGAAGAGGCCTACATTTTAACAATAGGAAAAACTATTGTAACAATGTAGTAAGTGTTCTGAGATGGGTCTTAGTATTCTTCAGAGTCAGTATATACTACGGGCTGGTGGCCAGGTCTGGGGCAGAACAGACACCAGGAATATGATGACCCACACACACTTCAGACAGCTTTCTAGTTGCAATAAAGTGGAGCCAAGCGAGCTGCATGACCTCAGCTTTGCTCCTGCAATCACCCTCTGCCCGCCTCTCAGGCTCCTGGCGTGCCTTTTATTCTCTGGTGGCAGAGGGCACGTGGAGTTGCCAGGTTACGGTTGGTGAAGAGTCATTTTTAGAAACAGAAAGTCAGTGTTCTGTTCTGAATGATTCTTGCACTCTGGGGCATGTGAATGTTAAGCAGTTAACTATCAGTTGGTGCTTAATCTGTTAGATCTTGCTCAACCCATAATTTGAGTGCTCACTTTTTCTTTTTTTACTTTAAATATGAGATGGATTATATTTTCCTTCCAGCTGATTCAGAAGTAAACGGCGCAATCAGGAAAGCAAAGTTTTCACTATTTGGTATTAAATAGTGAAAACAAAATGAATGTTTACTAAATTAAGTGAAATGAGAGGTGAACTTTCAGCTTTCCACATCAACTATTAAAGTATCAAATTGGATTTAAGCCCTAAAACCTGAAAGTTTTGGAATATGAGGAATGTGACTAAGAAATGTAGGGACCCCATTTTTTAGCCTCTTCTTTTTGTTCAGCAGATGTGAGGTATAATCCGTCAGCAGTTTTCAGAGGCATCCTTCCAAAGGACTTATCAAGTTATGTGATTTGGGTTAGCCTCAAGTTTTCTCATATGTAAAATGGGAATAATCACATCTGCCTCACAGAACTGTTGATATTAGAATGTAAGTGAAGCATCCATTTTATTATTGTAGGCCTCCAGGAAATGTTAGCTACATACTATTTTATTTATTGAAAAGATACTTTTACTTGGTTCAAAGTTCAAAAGTTACAGAGTTATATGCTGTATCTTTTGAAATCTTTTCCAGCCACATAATTCTCCTTGGAGTCAACAGATGTATCATTTTCTTGTGTATCTTGTTAGAGATATCTATTCTGCTTAACTAAAAGCAAAATGTATATTCTTTCCCTATTTTTTAAAACACACGAATGAAATCTTACTAATTCACATTTTTCCTTTTTATCACATAAACTGTATCTTAGAGGTTGTTCATATCAGTAACATTTTTTAATAATTGTGACTAAATTAGACATAGCTGTGTATCAGCGTGTGTGTGTGTGTGTGTGTGTGTGTGTGTGTGTGTGAGAGAGAGAGAGAGAGGGAGAGAGAGCGAGAGAGCTAATTTAATTGCCAATTCTAACCCTTGACTCCTGGATATTCATTCATACATTCATTTTATTAATTAATTCAACAGATATTTTTTGAAGGCTTATCACGAGTCAGGCTAGGCTCTGGCAATACAGCCAAGAGCAAATGAGACACAGTCACTTTTCCCCGTTTTCGTGACTATGAGCTGGACATTCCACTCTGCTGTGGTGCCTCAGCCTACCCTGGCCCTGGGGGGCCGACTGTCAGGCTCGGACCTGCGTGGTTGTCCTGCATCCCTCTGGCTCGGGGTGTGGTCCAGAGGCGAGGGCGGGCGGACAGAGGAGTCTGGACAGCGGGAACCCTGCGGGGAGCCCGGAGTCCGCGTGGATCCAGACGCAGGAATGAGCCAGAGGCCTGGAGACTGGGGAGGGGGGGGGGACCGCCGGCGGGGGTCCTCGGGCGACTTTGGGGCCTCGGTCCCAGACGCGAGCGGACACGCCCGAGTTCGTGTCCCTCTGCCCTCAAGCAGCGCACGGGGACCTGGGAGACCACTTCCTAAAACCCCACAAAGATGGGCACCAAGGCCCCGCTCACGAGGTCGGGACGGATGCCCCGCTAAGTCTGGGGGAGTCAGGGGCGAGGACAGGGTCAGTTTGCAGCGAGCTCACAGCTGGGCGGACGGACACCGGTTAAGAGACGCAGCACCCTGGGCGTGTGGCGAAAGCTCGTGCAGTGGGAAGGCTTCGGACCCGCAGAGCCAGTGGCGGGAGCCCAGCGCCGGGAGGACGCGCCGGCCCCGGGGCCCCAGACCTTTAAACTCCGGGCGCGCGGGAACCACAGCCCAACAGCCACAGGCGGGTCGCCGGCCAACCACCGCCCCGGACCCGCCTCTCGCCCAACGCTTGTCCAATCAGCAACTCTCTTACCCCCCGCCCCCGCCCGTCCGGGTCCCCGCGCGCCTCCGCCCCTACGATCCTCCCCGGGCCCGGCGGAGGCGGGGCCCCCGGCGGGGTGCCGGGGCGAGCGCTGACGTCGACGCTCCCCGCGAGTTTCGAACGCAGTTGGCCTCCGGGCCAGAAAAAACACCAGCGGCGGCCAATGGCCGGTCAGGAAGAACCCGCGCGCGGCCCCGGCCCCGCCCCGCTCGGCTGGAAAGAAATGCCCGCCCGGCCATTGGTTCGCGGGATCTGTCACTCCTCGCTGCGGCCAGTGGGCAGGCGCCTCGCTGTGATTGGTCCCGCCCAGGCGCGAAATGTAACGCGGGAAAAGTCCGAGTGGGAACCGCAGCAGCAGGTTGTTATTTTGGGGGTTCGGCGGCGTGAGTTTTGCTCTCCTGTCCCCGCCGGCCCGGCCGCCCGCTCTTCCCGCCTCTGCCGCCTGCGTGTGAAGAGAGGAGGGCGGGCTGGCCCCGGGGCTGGGGTCCGCCCTGACCCCGGTGCCCGCCGAGCTGCCCGGCTCCATCGCTGGCCGCCGCACAGGAGGATTCCGGGAAACGTCCGCGGCCATGAGCCCGCGGGACTGAGAGCCAGCGACTCGGAGCAGCGCGGGCAACGGGAGCGAAGGGCCAGCGGCCGGCGGAGCTGCGAATCGGGGAAGGACGATGATCCGGGGTGTGGAAGTGCCGATGGCGGACCACCCGCCGCCGCCTCCGCCGCCCGTCATCTTCTGCCACGACTCTCCGAAGCGGGTGCTGGTGTCGGTCATCAGGACGACCCCGATCAAGGCCACGTGCGGCGGCGGAGGGGAGCCGGAGCCGCCGCCGCCGCTCATCCCCACCAGCCCCGGCTTCAGCGACTTCATGGTGTACCCGTGGCGCTGGGCGAGAACGCGCACAACGT